TTTTCGAATTTTTTATTAGTTATGACTTTTTGCATTTCAACGATGATGTTTGTTCCGTTTTTTGCATTTCAGGTGACGATATGTATGTTCTTAACCCTTGTAGCAATTTTCTATACATATTTTTTCACGTTGCCTTTTAACTGCTTCATTAAACAGTTGTCTGCCCAAATACAAATATTTAATATGTTTTAACACCGGAAACAGCAGCGCTTACAACACCAACCACAGCGACTGTTTAGTTTTTTGTTTCTACTGCTTTGCATGCCATACTCGTAAAAATTGGCGAAAGCAGTAACAAGACACATTCTAAATTGACATCGAAAGAAAGTAACGGTCTACACAGTTATTAAGTTATGAATTACGCTTGAGTCGGGCTTAGAAAATAATTCTTAAAATTTTTTTATGTAACAATCACCACCACCCACATACGCCCCTACATACTTTCTTTGGCTTAGGCTTTGGCTTATCGCGTGCTGTGCTTTAAGCCGCTGTATAATATGTATGTGTGCATATAATCTGGAATATGTATGAATGTATGCATGTATTTGTGTGCACCATGTGGGCAGCTAGTTTGTTTGTATGCAAATTTCTGTTTACCTAATTTCAATTCCAATTCGAATGACTCTGCTTAGGGGCCTTTGGTTGGATCGACGGCTCCCCTGTTGCCTTTGCCGCTTGACTGTGGAAGTTGGCCGTGGAAGTAGTAATAGTTTTTGTTGTTGTTATCACTTTTGTATTTTTCGTTTATTCGTATTGTTATTGCTGACTGGGCACAAGTGCTGACTGTGACGACGGACTTGCAGCTGAGGTCGCACGCCTCGGTATGCGGGTGCAGGGAGCGGTCGATATGTTTGAATCCAAAGAAAAAAACAATTGTAACCGTCGATTTGTTCGATTCTTACTTTTTCAGTGTAGATATTTCTGTTGCTTGTTCGCATTAATGAGCCAACAATAATTTTTGTATATTTTTTTTTATCGCTTAGCTGTTGATTTCTTTAGCACTGCTTCAAACGAAAAATTCCGAAAATGCAAACAAACAACTTTTAATTAAAACTGATTTTTTGTTGAATTGCTGAGTCGCGCGCGCTGTCGTTGCCAATTAAAGTTTCGTAAGAAATAAGAACAACAAAACACGCACAATAATAAATATTTACATATATTATTTTTTTTTCTTAACGAAACTAGGCCTGCAACGCGCTTTTGTCCCAATTTCGCGCCAGAACCTTCGCATACAATTCAATTTAATTCGAAATTGAAATTATTTTACACACAGGCATAGTGGTGTCAGAAACACACCTGTACATATGAATGTATAGCTAACAATGTATGTACGTTTTGTTCCGTAGTAGCCCCGTATCACTTTCTCGTTCGTCGATCACACAAAACTCTCCTTTTAATTCCTGTTTGTCGACTTGACTCTTTAGTGCGATCACTTGCGTCTTCTTGAAATAAAGCGTTACTTTTTTTTTGCCACCAGTTTGCACTTTTGAATACTTTTTTTCTTAAACTACTTTTCTGTAGCTCCACCGGCACTGCTTTGGGGAACGAACCAACGTTTGTCTGCTGTGAAAGATGAATTGTGACTGACGGCTTGGTTGGCTGGTGGCCGTTTGGCTTGTTGGTGCGCCTCGCTGCCAACTTCTTGCCTTGCCTTGCAGAAACACATGTGCTTTGCAGTGGTGTGTGGCGTGGAGTGCGCGCGCGTATCTTCTTCCCCGTCAGCTTTCGGTGGTTTTTATTTATTGTTATCTACAAGTTTGTACAGCAAGTATATACCTATATATATGTACATATATGCGTGCATTTGTTGTTATTTTTTGTTGATTATTGGACGTTAACTTTTGCGGATTTTTGTATTTGTGTTTGTTTTTCGGCAGTTGTTCGATAGCTTTTGTGGTGATTGAGTCGGTAAGGCAGTGCGAATGAGCGACTTGTTGCTCCTCAACTGACTCTGGGGTGAGCTGAGACATTGCCCGTTAACAACCCTTAAGCATGAACTTATGAATGTGTCCTTAAATCTTGGAGAGTATGTTCGATCATTTACTTGCCTTTGAGACATTGTAGAGAGGGTGGCTAAGTATTATGCTGAGCAAAAAAGCAAAAGAGAGCTGGCCGTTTTTTTGAAGTGTCGCTTTAGGGCCGGTTGTTCAATGTCTGATTAGCACAAATCGGAGGTAGAAGCTCCGGTTAAGCACAACTACTGCTTTATCGATCACATGTTACATGCATGATGTCGAATTCGTCGATAGTGTAGTGGTAGTGATAACCAGACATTGAACAACCGGCCCTTAGGGCCGTTTGCACCATGTCTAGTTAATTCTAACTCCCAGTTAAACATCTTTATCGACGTTATCGACACCCATCATATAACATGTGATCGACAAAGCAGTTAACGTGCTTAACTGAAGAATGTACCTTCAGTTAGCGTTAACTAGACATGGTGCAAACGGCCCTTAATGCATATAACACGGTGTCGGTAACGTCGATAACGATGTCCAACCGGAGGTTAGTGTCCCAGAAGATAATTCAGGTAGACCTTCTTAAGTGAAGCCATTCTAAGAGGCCTACCCAAGAAGGACTGAAAAAAGTGCTTCCTTGCATTCCTTCTAGAAGGGCTTATCCATTTACAATTTACGCAAATGCATAAATTTATATTCGGGATCTTCATAAAACGGGACAAACTGTTGATAAACTTAATAAAATGATAAATTTATCATTTTCAGAAATGAACTGTCAAACTTTGTACGGAAACCTATTTAACCGACGATTTTGGTGGATAAACGAATAAATTTCAGCAAAATTCAAACCGACAGACCATCAGGTGTTCGAGCACAATGGACGAGGTAAGAATGAAATGTAACTAGCCAGATAAGTTAAATAATAAACAATATTGTGCAATTATTTACCAAGGTGCGTTCATGAAAGAATGGGGATAAACTGATAAATTTAAGAAATTTATCCCTTTATCAGTTTCGGTAGAGACCCCTATTATTTAGCATTACAAATGAAATTCAGTAAACATTTTAAGTTTGTAATAACACATATTTGATATAAATCTTAAGCAAATACTTCAAAGATGAATGATTTTTTAAATTAAAGAAGCAACTTTAAAAGAACTCCTCCAAAAGACCTTCTGAAGTACGTCCTATAAAGACGTGGGTTGCGAAATTTGTGCCACTCTATAGAAAAAGAAAGGAGAAAGGAGTGTAGAGTGCAAGGCCTTTTGACTCTCAGGAAGGCCTTTCGGAAGGGCTTTTAACCCCTAAAATTATCTACTGGGGTCAACCAGCCGGCCCTAAGAAGTGAAAGCCATGTGAAAGTGGGTAACTTAACGCGTGGCGCCATCATTGGCCCTCAAGCTTGTCAAATATCCGCCGACAAATTTTATTAGCAACACAAAATATTACATACACGATTTTGCACCATGAACGGTGCAGCCACCATCAGGATTATGGGTGAGTAGTTGCAAGAGCGATTGACACGGTTTCTCCAAACCGTTTTCCCCCGTTTTGTTTATCTATAGGCGTTTTTTTTTTTGATATCTTGATTTTTGATTATCCAATAACCCGTTTTTTTTATCGAATAAACCGGTTTTTTTAAATTCATACACATCTTGACCCCTCAATAAAAGTTTTGAGTTTTCCGAGGTTTCAAGGCTTTTTCCAGTCTAAGGGAAACCCTTAAATATTGGTTTTTAAATTATATTCTAGGTTATTTAGGGATTAAGAGTCTATCATATTTGATTCCAATAAATTAATGTTTGGCGCTTAAATGTTAAATGCTTTTTTAAAAAAGGTATAAGAACCAACGTGAATTTTTCCTGATTTTTATTTGTTTTACTTTTGATCCCGAGTACAGAATATCAATACTTTTCATGAGTACTGAGTAGTATCGAGAACTCGATACTTTTTCACAAGTACCGAGCTAGTACCGCGAATACCAAAAGGTATCGACGGATAAACAACTTTTTAATAATTTTTTTAGTTACAGAAAAAATTCGTTCTTTGAATGACATTGGAAAATGTTTAGAAATTACCCAATAAACATTATGGCGAAAGTTCGAAATTTTTTTCTTGGATATATGAATGTCGCAAAAATAAAGATAAAGCTCATTTAATACAATACTGTCATAACTTGGAAAACATTTCAACACTGGGCTCGGTTGAAAATTCTTAAATAATTGAAAAAACAAATTCTTGCCTCACCGTCGAATGGAGAAATAGGGTGGTCTTCGACTCGATAACTTGGCCATTCTCCAGTATAATGGAGCCTTCGTTTAATTAAAATCTAGCCCATTCTCGAAGAAAATTTTTATGGAAAAGAACTATTCTTTCCTTTAGAGAATGGGCTTCACCAAATATGTTTCTCGTTTTCTACATTTGCATTTCATTTTCCAGGTAAAGTGCTTTATAAATATACGCGTCAAACAATTATAAAATATCAGCATTTAAAAACTTTAAATAAGCTTTTTGCTATAAATATTTATTTTGCGCTTGTAGAAATAAACTTAGTGCAAGTTTATTTCAAAAACTCTTTTAGAAATGCTTGTTAATCAGAATTCAACTATTAAAAGCAGTGCCTATTTAATTTACAAATAGAAAGAGGCCATAAAAGCCAAGCATATACTATTTTTATTAACCTTTCTCGTTCGCTTAAAAAATACCTGGAAGTACGAGTATTATCGAAATCTGAGCTAATAGTACCTGGTAAGCTGCTATGAGCGCGAGCACCCGAACAAACACTTCTTACAACCAGAACATATTGCCCCCAACTTCAACTAAAACCTCTCTCCTTTTGGCCTGACCGCGTCGAAACAGCAGGTTTCTTTCGCTACCCTCTAGTTAAGCTTGACGTCAACGATTGAAAATTAGCTCTACGTCAACATTCTTGTCATACCGATCTCTATACAAATCAAATTTTTTCCGACTGGGTAATAACAAGTGATGCCAAGTTCAATCTCCAATGTATTATTGCATCATGGTCTGGCAGCATCATTTCTGCATATGTCATTTAATTCTGTGCAAGTGGATTTTTATTTTCATAGCTATCGTACAATCATCTGCAAGGCACCAAGATTTCTAAAAAAATAACTTGGTTTCATCTGTAAACTCATCAATATTGTGCTTAAATCGATAACTCCGCAAGTTGTAAGTATAATGGCAAATTAAAAAGTATAACGCTTTGTTTTTCATATTTACGCAGTGACGAATCAAGTGTGAAAAGTGGTTGCTACTTCATCAATTGCGGAAGTAAGCCAAGGGGAGTTGGGTGGAATAAACTTAATGCTTTAGGCATGCGATACATCATATATGAGTATAGCATATTTTGTGATTTTCATTGGAAGTATTTGAATACAGTTCAATGAATTTCATGGTCTGTTTATTTAGTACTGCTGCTGATATGAAAATATTTGTTTAAAGACGTGATAACTTTTTACATATCTGTGATCGTATGGAATAGTAGCTTATGTCGATGGCTTTAGTATAATGCGGCATTCTCTTTATGCTTTGAACGACAAGGAATTTTTTGATGAGACTTAATAAGAATATTGACTTGCTAGTATTGGAACTATTTATTGCACGTTTATTGGCCAAAACTTCTTCAACTGCTTAGCCCCAGTGAGTCATTCGCAATCATATGCTGCGAATGCCGATTTATACTAAAGCCAACCTTTGGACATGAGCTATTCCATACGAACACAGATATGTTCATACATATGTATGCATATGAACCCCAGAAGCCGTACAACCGTTTAGTTATCTTGATAATGAACTCTATTCCATTAGCTTGAGTTCAGCGACCATAAAATATGTATCTTGTATTATTCTTTGAAGCTGCACATATTTTTCAAATACGGTGTGTTATTAACACGCCTTGCGGCAAGCTTAGAATTTGATATCAGTTGCGTTAAGTATTGAATGAATCATTTGTTTAGTTGCGGTCGCTGTATGCATCGTCAGTTGCTCTAAATGGCAGAGCAATGATGGCATTTCCGTGCATTTGCATACTTATATACTTCTGTGAATAATATTTATGTTTATACTATGTGTGCTTCCATTCCTCTCTTTTAATGTTTTATATGTACAAATATTCCTTGCATTGATTTTGTAGCTGCACGCATCGCTCACATTGCATTCTAACAACGCAGTCATTGTGTGCATAGTGCTTCAAAAACGCAGTGATGTCACGCAACTTAAACAATCCACCCGGTGGTCATCGTGATTATGGTGCTACCTCGAGCAGTACAAACGCTATATTGCCGGATGTCAACTTTTCGGGTTTCAGTCCCACTGAGTTCATGTCGTTAAGTGAGGATATTGGTCAAAACATTAGCGCAGTAAATTCTAGCTCCAGACAATTGGAGAAAATACTTAAAGTTATTGGCACACGCCGGGAGCAACAGGCGACACGCAACAAGGTACATAACATACACGGTGAGGCGAATACGCGCATTGAGACGCTCAGTCGGGATTTACAGCGTCTAACGTCTGTGGTTCGACGAGGTGACAAACAACAAAAGCTACAGCTTGAAAAGTTGACAAATGATTTCCGCAATGTGGTGGAGAAATATTCATCCGTACAGAAACGGATCACTGCGGCATTGCGGCAAAGTATTGAACAGCAGGGGCAACAACAAGATGAACAGGCAGAGGCAGAGCGTGCGGAATTTTTGCAACAACAGGCTCAAATGACGGCAGGCTTGCAATTCGAACAGGATATGATGGTTGATAGGGAACGTCAGCTGCGTCAGATTGAAGCTGATGTGCTGGACGTGAACGCGATTATGCGACGCGTATATGATATCGTGCAAACGCAGGGGGAACAAGTGGGTATGTGTTTAATGCAATAAAAGGCCACTTATTTAAACTACCTTTCAATTTATATTTTGAATATTAAATAATACATTTTTTTTTACAGAAAACATAGAAAGTAGCGTTGAAACCGCTGCAACTGATGTGGAATTGGGACGTGATGAGCTGGCTAAAGCCGCGCAGTATCGTCGAAGTTATCGTCGCAGAATTCTTATACTTTTGGCGGTTGCTGTGATAATAGGATTAATTGTGACAGGCATTATTGTAGCCAAGATAACTAGTTAATTTGTTATATGTATATGTATGTGTATGTGTTGATGTGTTTAAAACAAAATGGTATGTTTTAAAAATGTTGTCATTATAATGATAACACGCATACAAACATGTACGAATGTGTGCTTCTACAAGAAGTGTTTGGACTTTAATCTTTTTTATTGTTATAAATGTGTGTTTAGTAGTGAGTTAATAAATCAATAAGGCCCGTATTAATAATTAAAAACTGAATACGAAAATCAAATGCTACAAATAAATTATATACGTACATACATATGTACATGTTTAACCAATAAATAAAATACATACTTTATCGCTAAAAACAGTTACTGCTGACTTTATAAGTGTTGAGGTTATTTCGGTTTATAAGATTGAATAGTTTGAAAACATGTTCACCCCAATTCTGAATACTACTGAAAATCCTCGAATAATTTTTATTTATAATAAGAGGAAAGGAAACAGAAGAAACTCCCAGGGAGTTTCTTTTCAGAATCGGCCTGGTTGATAAAATATTTAGGGCCGGTCACGTGAGGCGTGTTTAAGATAAACAAGGGGAAACATCCGGTGCTACAGAGATGAAATTACTTCAGTCTAGGTCACTGAAGATTGCATCAGGGCTGTAAGTGCACCCGGAAGGAAGTGCCTAAAAAATGGACAAGTCGAATGTACTCATGGCTTGTTTCCCGTATATTTTTTAAATGCCGCTAGTTGCGCCCAAAAGTATACTTCAATGTAATATAAATAAAACTACTGAAGTTTGGTAGCACTGATCAGTGCTGCCAACTTTTGTTAAACAGCTGATTTTGTCATATCCGCACGTGCCTTTGGCAATCAAAAATTTTTAATATATAAACAAAAAGGCGAACAATTTTGTCAACATAAGAATGGTCCAAGGAAAATTTAAAAAGGCGAAATTGCCAGCCAGTGTGCAACAAAAGCAAAAACAGAAAAATGCCAAAGCATTTACAAGAAGATCTAGTGAGTATTGGTTGATATGGTGCAAAGAATGCTTGCAATATCATCTACGTCGCATGCGGTATTGTTTGTGTGGTTTTTTTTAATTTCTTGGCGTTTTTGTTTGCAGATGCTCCCATTCAGGCAAAGAAAACGAAATTCAATGAACAACAAAAGATTAAAAACGCCATCTCAAAGACTGTCAACAAATCTGTAGAAAATGAGTTGCGTTCGCGTGCCTTTGAAGGCCAAATAAAACTCAGTAAGGCACAGGAAGCGGTGACGAAACATCATCAAGCGAAGGCTCAAGTTGCTGCTGAGGCAGCGCCATCCACGTCAGCGTAGCAATTTAAAGAGAATAGAATTCTTGAGGTGTTTTGTGGATGTATCTATACATACTTACATATCGTCGCCTGGGTAAAAGACTGTCGTATGTTACTTTCGGCAGGTTTTGGGAAATCGATGTTAAAGATTCAATCAGAATTTCTCAAAAGCTGTACAATCGGTTTTTACCAAAGGTTAATGCTTGATTGTACATACTAGCTAAGGTACAAAACCACATTTTATTAAATTTTCAGCTTTTACAGCCACTTTTTTATAAAATCATTTAGTCGTATGTTACATTTTCACGTTAAACGCTTGCCAGCTGTATGACATACTACAAATCACACACACAGCTACTAAGCAAAAGGCGGAAATTGTTGAAATTATTTTTTGCTCGTACGCGTGTGATTTTGTCTTATGTCATGGAGGTATGTACCATACAATTTGTCACATAAGACAATATTTTAACAAGCCATCAATTTCCTCAAACTGTATGAAAATTTTATCGTATGTGAACAACATACAACAAAATGTTGACCGAGTCGTTTGCGAACGTGCAAATACGACAAAATATTACTCAATATCTCGGAACCTAAAGGAGATATCCAAACACTGGTAACACCAATCGAAAAATCTTATTTAAAAAAGTAAAACTGCATCTTCAACTAAAAATAATCAAAATGAGGCTTACGACAATCTTTCACCCAGACTACGATATGTACATACCCTGCAAACCAAAGTTCCCGAAATCCTAACGAAATATTTAGGAGTATCTTATATCTGTAACGATTTTTTACGAATCTTCAAACAAAATTGTATGAAGTGATTGTCACGAACTCGTTAAGAAATCTCTGTACGAAAAAAAAAATTCTGAAAAAATTATGCTGGAAATTCTTCACATAGCAGCTTACTTTAATTGCTGGAAATTCTTCAGTGCTTTACCGGGTTTCTTCCGAAATTTCGTAAAAGATTCGAAGTGTGCCCAGTTTATTTCATTTAAGAAAATTCAGCGAAAAATCGGATATCTACGAATTCTTTAAAATTTCTCTACTAATCAGAATACTCTTAAAAAATGATTAGCAGAGTATATACTATGTAGGTGGACACAAATCTGTGGTCACATTTTGCATCTTAGGCCAATCTAACCTATACTACACATGTATAAATAGGAGCAAAGTCATACATATAACTGTAAAGAAATGTTTTAATATAAATCCTGAAACTATTAAATTTTGAATTTTTTGATTTACTGGTCGCTAATTAGAGAGTATGGTTGGTTATGGTGCCAAAACCTATGAAAACATTCCCACGAAAGCCGGATCTGCGTACCGGAATGACTCGGGTTTTACCCGACCAAGCGTCGGCGTTTAGATCGGCAAAGTATCTCAGAAGTTGTTCGTCCATAGGGCTACATTCGCTACGTTTTCTTCTGCTCAGGGCTGCCATCGAGTCAAACCCAGGGCCAGAAACTTACACCTGCTGTGTATGCCAGAGACGACTACACCGCAACTCCACCTCAGTCAAGTGCAATGCTTGCGAGGGGTAGAGTAACCTCAGAGTCTGCTCAGGACTACGGACACATCAGCAGTGGATCACGTCGTTTGTGGCCCCCTGCTGCTTAAACAGAGCAGCCTCCACGGCTAACCCCAGTCCTCTGAGCAGTCCCACACAAACACCACAGCACAATATCATAACACAATAGACCACACCACAACCGCAACAGACCACAGAACACAAAACCGCGCCACCACCCACACGCCGCCGCCAACTCTTGGTTCCTCCTACAATCTGCACGGTATGTCAGACCAGGATATTCCGTAACATGATATCAGTCAATGGCAACACTTGCCTGGGCTGGTGCCACTTTACGGCATGTTTAGGCCTTCGCACCACGCGAGATTGGACGGGGAACTTCGAGGGCCCGGGTTGCGCTGCTCGGTCGCAAACCCCAATTGCGACGCCATCCACACCACAGGGCGGCATACTACACAGCAGCGCACATAGCCAATGGCGGCAAGGCAACACACATTCCTCACACCCCGCATAACAACACCTCTCCCGAGCCACATGAAGCTTCTTCAATTTAACTGTAACGGACATCAGAGCAAGATCTAGGAGATAACCGTCTTCATGGGAAGGAAAGGTATATTGATAGCTGCGGTCCAAGAGACGAAGTTGCGCAGCAATTCAACATTGTTGAATTGTGACGGATACAACGTGCACCGTCGAGATCGCGAGCGAGATAATGGTGGTGGCTTAGCGTTCATCACGCACCACACCGTGCAATATCGTCTTATTGAAGCAGACATCGACCTCAGGGATACTACCCTAGAATGTCAAGGCATTGCTATACGGTCAGGAGATGTCGAGCTCAAAATATTTAACGTTTATATACCCCCTGTCATTAGCTGCCCGGCAGGATATACCCCTGATATAGGTGCGCAGCTCAGAGGTGAAAACCATTTATTAGTTGGTGACTTTAATGCGCACCACGATTTTTGGCATTCAAGCCTGTCAAGCGATCTTCCCCAGCTATCTTTGGCATTCAAGCCTGTCAAGCGATCTTCCCCTGCGATCACTTGACATGCTTGAATGCCAAAGATCGTGGTGCGCATTAAACAGACTCGGCTAAGCAGATAGACGATTCGACATTCTGCACAATGAACGACGATGCACCCACCAGGATTATGGGCAGCTGCTGCAGCTCGCCAGACATAACAATAGTCAGCGCTGATCTGATAATCATCGTATCATGGCGACCTTTGCTGACTTTGGCATCAGACCATCTGCAGATAGTCCTCTCGATCGATAAACCAACCGATTTTGCTTCCGCGGAAGTCCGGACCCATATCAACTTTTCCAAAGCTGATTGGAAAGGCTTCGCCGAATTTACCGAGAGCAACTTCGCTGCGCTCCCCACACCAACCGACGTCCACCTTGGTGACCGTAAATTCCGCAATGTTGTCGCAGCTCGCTTCGTACCGGCAGTATTCATTACGGACCCCCGTCCAAACTTCCCTAGTGAAGCGGCTGTTCTAGCCGATGAGCGTGACAACCTTCGTCAGGCCGATCCCGGAAATCCCCGTATCAGGGATCTCAACGCGGAGTTTCTGGCGCTTGTGAACGTACATAAGCGGATAAAGTGGGAAGAGCACCTGAAGCCTTTTAACTTCTCCTCTGGTGTGAGTAAGCTTTGGTCAACCGTGAGGTCAGGGTCCAATCCGACGAAGCACGACGACAGAGTCGAAATTTCTTTCGGCGAATATGCTTCGTCGGACCCGGAGCGATGCGCGAGCTATTTTAGCCGGCAGTTCATACTGGATCCTCCGGCGGACAGAGCCAAGCGTCGAGAGATCAGAAGGCTGCGCAAACTGCCAACAACCTGTACCCCTCTTGCTTTCACTAGGGGCGAAGTTCAGGGAGCCATCGGGAAGTCGAAAGTCTCCAAAGCCATGGGGCCCGACGGAATATACATGCCGATGCTGAAACATTTCGGTTCTGCGGGAGTAGCGTACCTAACGGAGGTCCTCAATCTTTCAATGGCCACTCCCATCATCCCAGACATCTGAAAGATGGGGAGAGTGGTCCCACTGCTCAAACCGGAAGAACCAACCTACATAGGATAACACTCCCTTCCCCGGTAGCGAAGACACTAGATGCCTTCCTACTCCCGCATTTCACGAACCACCTGACCGCAGCGAAGCGTCAGCATGGTTTCCGTAAAGTGCACAGTACAACAACAGCACTTAACGCCATAAACACGCAGATAACACGTGGCCTAAACCGCAACCATCCCTGTGAGAGAACTATTCTAGTAGCGTTGGACCTGTCAAAGGCGTTTGACACCGTCAGCCACTACACGCTGCTAGAAGACATAGAGGTCTCCTCTATCCCACAGAGGCTCAAACGGTGGTCGGCGAATTACCTGAGTGGTCGACATTCGTCAGTAATTTTCAGAGACAAAACCAGCAAGCCACGTAAAATTGAACAGGGGGTACCACAGGGTGGTGTCCTGTCCCCACTATTGTTTAATTATTACATCTCTAAGCTTCCTCAACCCCCAGAGGGTGTCAATATTGTCTCCTATGCTGACGATTGTTCGATAATAGCGGCTGGGAATGGAATTGATGGCTTGTGTTCGAAAGTAAATGCGTATCTCTCCGAGCTTTCCCGCTCTTCACTGCTAGGAGCCTAACCCTCTCCCCTACAAAATCCTCTGCGACCTTGTTCGCCACCTAAACGAAGAAGGTCAGACTACCGCCGGGAATTCACATCTATGATACACCAATTCCGACGGTGAATAACCCCAAAATACTTGGAGTGACCTTCGAGAGTCTGCTCTCCTTCTCTGCGCACGCAACCGCTATTGTCAACAAAGTACAGAGCCGCAACAAGGTCCTCAAGTCGCTGGCCGGCAGTACTTGGGGCGAAGACAAAGAAACGTTGCTGTGAATATACAAGGCAATAGACCGGGACATCGACGAGACGGAGCTTCATCTGCCTCGGAGACCAGAATCACAATAGCCCAACTTCGCTGAGGCTGCACGCTTAGGGCTTCTGTTAGTGGAGCTTGACGATATCGACTGAGATATTAACCGATCAGGGCGAGGTTGTTGTAGCCGCCCCAACAACAACAAAAACAATAACAATACCATTTCAAAACTATTTCAGAACCATTTCGGGGCAAGTTCAAGACTATTTCAGGGCCATTTCAAGGATAATTTTGAAACTAGTTCAGGTGCGTTTCGGGACTAGTAAGGGATCATTTAAGGACTACTTCTGGACAATTAATGGCCTGGTTCGGTATCTATTCGGGCCAGTTCGAAACTAGTAACGAAACGATCCTGAAATAGTCCTGAACTATTTCCAAAGTGGTTATGAAAAAGTCGAGCACTTGTCGCGAGAAAATTACCTAACTTATTTATTAGCGTATGTAACTGAATATCCAAATACTTTGCCAAGCCCTACACAGCTGTTTACAAATGAAATTTCACGAGTGCCTGGTACTCAGATTTTTTTTCCATTTCACAATTTAACTTAACTCAACTTTGAGCCCTTTGCTCATTTTATTTAAAGCAATGCGGGAAAGTTCCCACGAAGGGTTTCAGTGGCGCCGATCAATAATAGCAAGTACTTAGTAGTAAAAGGCAAAGGTGCAACAAATTTAAAATTAAAATTTTACACTATCACATAATAAATCAGTTTTGGCAAAATTTGACACCAACAACGAAGGCACATAGTAAGTACATATTCACCACCGGTGCCAAAAACTTCTCACCTTA